ACCACAGGGCTTCGCGTTCAATTGCTGGCTCCTTATTGGGTTACAGAGGCTAAAATCTTTTTAGTTTTGCCTCCAGCCGGACTTGAACCGTTGACCTTGACTGTGGGGGCATGGGATAAAATCAATTTTGTTACAATATTCAAAATATTTAATTTTTAAAAACAACTTAGACAATCAAATATTATATATTTGAAACAACTCTGCACAACAGATAACAACATCCTACTTGATTAAAAATATAATCAAAACTGATATATTTATTTAAAAACAGAAAATCTTTCTAGTTTTTTTATTTAAAAGATACAATTTTAGTATAATATTATTATAAAATAACTTACCATATTACCAATCACCTCTTTGCTTATCATATTATTTATATATCTAAAACATTTATTAAATTTAAACTTTAATTACTTTTATACTATAATAATAAAATTATTATTAAAAAAATATAAAAATATTTTATATTTTCTAATTATTACTCTATCATTTATTAGACTTCTAATATAAATCTAAACTATACAAAATTTTATTCTTTAGTTTCTGTTAACTATAAATAATATAAAAGATTCTATTTCAATTCTTATAGAATTAATCAAACTTGTATTATTGTAGTTTAGCAATTATCTTAGCATAATTTCTAGACAGAACTAATCCAAACTATTAACTTAATCTAAATGCCAATTATTTAGATCTTATTTGATCTATAATTTTTAAACATCCAACTTGCATTCTGCCTTTATTAAATATTTTTATTATTAACTCAATTGTTTCTGAAACCTTTTTTTTAAGTAAATTTATTAACAAAGTTATATTTATTTTATTACAATTCTTCTTATTAACAATTATCTTTCTATATTGATGGTTCTGTAATTGATATTGGTACTGATCAATATATTATAGATATTAGTTGAATCTAAATTGATAATCATAATCAAATTATTAATTTCTTTTTTGCTAAAATACAATTCTAACTCTTATTTTATAAAGCAAAACTTTTTCAATTATTATTACAATCTTAACAGCCTCTCAAAACTTAGTTATTAATATTTTTACTAACTCTTAATCAGTATTTTCTAAATTTAATAATCTTTAACTTAACTTATCCTAATAAGTTATTTAAATTTAATTCATAACTAATAGAATATACTCTTTTAAATATTATTAAATTATATAAACTATAAATTATTTTTTACAAATTACAAACTTATTCAAATAACTATCTTAATAAGTAAGCAGATTCTTTTACCAAATAATATTCATTGTTATCACTTCTTTCATTTAACTACACAAATTTTTACAACTCTTATTATATTCTTTAATAGAAACAGTATTATATAAAACTTTTTACAAAATACTTTATCAAACAAATTTGTAAAACTCATATTTTAGCTATATAAGTATTATAAAAATAAAACAGTAAATGGTCATATTTCTACTAAGTTTAATTGGAAATCTACTTGGCTTTACTTTAATTACAATTAAAAAGCTTTTTACAATATTACTAACTTCAAACTTAACCAACTAAAATTTTTTAAAACAAAAATTTTTCTTAATAAGTTGTTAACATACTTATTATATTATACAATTTATCTAAACCAATATCCAAACACTACTTGTTTCTATTATAACTTATCTAATTTCTTTTTTTACTGGTATATTTGTACTAATCTATTTTTATTTAACCAAATTATTCATACTTCTATTACTCAAATTATTTTTAATAACTTATCTAATCTTAATATTTATTAAAAACATAATCTAATTATCAAAATTCTTTATCATTTAGCTCTTAATTTTTTTTTTTTTTTTATACATGAATTGGCATTCTTTTTATTAAGCTCTTAATTTTTTATATACATTACTTAATATATTTTATTTTAATCTTATTCTTAAAGAATTTATCTCAAAGTTTCTTATATCAATAATTCAAAACTCTAATATTTTATATAAAACTGCTTCTCAAATTATTATTAATACTTTTCTTAATATTAATAAACAATTATATAAGTAACTATAAAAAATATATTGAATTCATTTTTCTATCTGAAAAAAGCAACAAAATAAATTCTAATCTTAACCAATTAATCAATTTTTAAGATCATCTAATCTAATTACAAAACACATATTTTTAAAAAAATTACACTTATTTATGCTTTTGCAAACTTCTCAATCAATTATATTTTTATATAAACATATATTCTTCTATTAGCCAAGCAATTCACAAAATCAACATTTAGACTATTCTATGAATCAAATATAACATGTTATCAAATTATATACTAAATATTCAAACTTAGATAAGTTTTGACCACTTTAGTAGGTTTAAATTACAAATAAACTAGTCTGAGCTTTTATTTTTGCATGTAATTTTCAATTTTTTGTTTTATACAAATAAAAGTAGCTATATAGTTAGTAGTTTAATGATTAACACTGACTGCAAATATTGACCTTAGTCATAGCATATATATATATAATCATTTTAAATTATTAATAAAGATATAAGCAAGGCCTTACCTTAATATCAAAAAAAAAATTTAAATACAATAATTATAAATATTTAAATATACATGACATTAAAAACATAATAAGTACTTAAAAGCATATGTATGTAAACTTTTTTTCTTTCTTATTTTTTTATGAAAAATGATAAAGAATTTAAGTTTATAAATTTAATTGTTCGAAGAACATTACTGTAGAGATATAGAGCATCCAATATCTGTGCGTATACAAATTACGGATTTTGATTGGCCAATCATATAAGTGATTTGCAAATATAAAATAAACAAAAAGACGTTAATGTTTAGACTAGCTTTTTTCTGTATTTATCAATTGAGTATTTTTAAATATAATAACGTCTATTATTATTAGGTTTCGGACTAAGGACCTGCAAATTACCTATTTTTGTGGCACTTAGTTTTAAAAATTTTTTGCCGGCCCAGCCCGCATAATATATAATTTTTTTTCAAGCTGGCCCAGCATGCAAAATTTATTATTAAATTTTGAAAATTTTTAGGCCCGCTCTGGCCCGCAGTTGTAAAATTTTCTTCATGCCCGGCTGCGGGACCCAATGCAGGCCTCTGCTTTGGACTTGCAATAGTTTCTGTTAACCTAGTATAATTTGATTGGTTGATTGTTATAAATGACCAATATAACGTGTTATTCAATTTCATGTGATCAACAAATCACGAGAAGGTTATCCTATATCTACCAATCAGGATGCGTGTAACATGAAAATCAGATTTAAAAAAATCACCTCTTAAATTTTGTGCATGAACCTGTTCTTTTTGTCCTGGAAAAAATCCCCTTACAAAATTTTGGATAAAGAAGGTTTAACAATTTTTTGTTCTGTTTATTTTTTTAAAGAAAAAAAACTAGTTAATCTAATAAGCATCGCACTGACGATGAATTATAATTCAATTACTTGACCATACTGGGGGGATCCCTAAAGCGGCAGACCCTTATAATTTAATATTTTAAAATTAACCTTAGGGAAGGGCCACTTTAGATTATAGTTAGGTTAGGATCAAGTATGTTTATATAAGAAAAGTTGTCTTCCCGACAAGGTAGGTTTAGACTACCGCTTTTATTTTCGTCAGGTTTATCAAATTTCTATATTCGATTGGTCAAATATCGCGTGATGCTCCCTTGTGATCTGTGTTACAAATCGCGTGATGCTCCCTTGTGATCTGTGTTACAAATCGCGTGACTTTTATAGTTATATATTATCGTTATGTACAAACCAACTGTTAAGGTTATCTGTAATGAAGTTGCCATTAAGTGAGCATGAGCTTACTAGTCTCTTAAATGATTTTCAAAATGCACAAAAAGAACGAATCAAAATCAAGCAACAAGCAAACACCGTACATGCAATAATAATATTCATTATTGATTTTTTTTTTTTTAAACTGGATTTTAAAATAATCCATTCGTAATAAAAAGGTTTTCGAGTCTCAAAGTACTGGTGTGCAAAGTACCAAACCATTGGAAGAGCTCGAAGATGAACATCAAAAGGTGCTAAAACAGAAAAAAAAAATTTACACTATGTTAAAAGACCCATTTTTGAATTTTTCTGTTATTTATCCTTCTGCTCATAGATGTACTTGAGCAAAATAAATTTGACAGAAAAATATCAATTCGCCCGTCAATTATATTATATGGTGCATAATGATGATCGCATTAAACAATCAGGATTTCCAGATGTAGAAGAGACTGTTAAAAGGTTACTCTCTTTCAATGAACGTCCTTTTAATATGTGGTTTGAGATGAGTTTTGTAAGTTGTGCATGAGTGCGTTAGTGAATATATTTTGGTGATTTACATTATCTAAGGGTTTCAAATGCGAAATTTAATGATATCGGTATAAATGAAGATGCCTGGAAAAAAAGTATGCAAAAATTGGACAGGGACTTACTGGATACGGCGAGTAGGTATCGTTGTTCCTTCTTCATCATTAAATACCAATATGTAATATTTATAATTCAAAAGTGTCAATTCGTGGAATGGCCGACGTATCTATAAGAAGTGAGAATGATAACTTTCTTACATTGTGGTATTGGGAACTTAAAAATGGTTTGATTGATGCACTTAAATGTCGGCCTCCTTGTAAATTGTCGTCCGCATCAGGTAAATTAATAACGAATTCTTTTTTGTTCTCATCTGAATATGAAGACTTATACAATGCGTTCTATTCAAATAAAGACAATTTATTTTATGATATTGTCGCATATGATATCACATACGCTTCTGGAATAGTGTATGACAAAAATAATACATCAAAAGTGCTAAAGTTTAGCACAAGACATCGAGGTCGTTGTTTGCTTGTTTCTATAATAAGGTACATATTTTGACGTTTAATATGATGTTATTAGTGATTTTGTTTGATTGTGTTGTTTGACGTTGACATTCATAATGATATAAGAAAATATCCGGATGCTGAACCGGATTCTAGTTATGATATAAAGTTTGATCATCCCCTTGTTTTATCAACCGCCAAATTTCGTGAGATGATTCAAACAATTACTACTTCAGGTAAAAGCGAAAAACGGGATGTACATTTTATTTCGCCGGAAATGGGGTTGTCCCGTTTTATTACGGGCGTATTATGGAATGAGATGGATTGTTTATTTTAATAGGAATAATTGATTTCTAGTCTTCAATCCGTATTTAGTAGTGGAAGTACCCGTTCTCTTATCTAAAAGTAGTAGAGATGTTATTCGACTCTATTCATTAATCGATTTTTATTATAATAAATATACAAGCGGTTAAGTCGTTTAATATTTCTAAAAAGCAGGTTTAGTTGATTTATACCAGTCTTTTTCAATTACATGACCAATAAAATTACAATAAATTTGAAATATACCCAGCATAAATCAAGAGGTGGATTGCAAAATAGGGTATAGTAATTACTTTAATTATAACAATTCGAATGTTACAGTATTATCTGTTTTTAGCAAGAAAGAATTACGTTCACAATTTAAAGTATGTAATTCATTACTCGGGAACCATTACCTAATTTGAAAACTTCGCTATCTTTAGAAATAAAAGTGAATCGAAGATTTGTCTATCCTACCATTAATGTATTAATAACGACAAATAAAGGCAAACAAACAATTGAAACATATTAATGACATGATAAAATATACACATACCTTGTATATTATAAAATATTCTATCGATGATGGCTTTAAGTAAAAATAAAATGAGAATTAGTTATTTTGCTCCCTAGTTGAACTTGCTTTTTACACCTTACCATGATGTAATAAATATTACGCCCAATTTCCTCTGTATATCTTCAAAGTCCAACTACTCAATACTAACAAGAAAATTTTTCGTAAACCTCCGTTGAACCTTCCTTAATAAAAATAACATCAAAGCCCATTGAATGCCTTTGCTCACTAATCAGTGGTATAACATACATGATTCTTTTTATTACAAAATGAAAATTTTTGATTTCTTGTTGATCAACATTGAGTAAGTGATGAAGAAATCAAGAACGATCGCACATTTTGTATTTATCAAGTTCTCGATAAAACATCCTTTCTCGGTTATGTAATATATTTATCACGTGAATTCCGTTTATCACTAATGCGTAAACAAGTAATGATTGACGATATAGCGATAGAAAAGTAGATAAGTGTCACCTATTTATGTTACACGAATACCGAATACCGTGAGACGTTGGACTATTTGGTTCTCATAAATACTAGTTTAACCACGATAACTTTAAGTTAAAGGTAGTAATTTTCCTTCGTCGGTGGGTGGGTGTTAATTAATAGTCGAATTCTTCGAACCATTTACCTCTTAGCAAGCTGTATTCTCATATTCACGCTTATTAACTGTCTAGGGGTGGCATTAAACAAACCCGACGAAATGAACATATTTCCCGATCATATATATGGTGGTATTCCAGTATTCAGACCAACCTGGGACCAATTCAAAGATTTCAGGGCGTTTGTATCCGCGGTAAGACATTATGGCTATGATTCAGGCATTATAAAAATAATACCGCCGGAAGAATGGTAAGCACATCACTTTACTCTCCAAGTTTTATGCACGCTGTGGCTTTGCCAATGCAGAGATGTTTTAATTCAACCACAATTGCGTTTTTTTTACATCAATTTATTATAGGAAAAAATCACTTCCAAAAGACTATTCTCGGCAATTAAGCAAGGTTTTAATCAAAAATCCATGCCAACAAATGGTTATGCGTGATACTACAGTCGGATATTACGTCGTCCGAAACATTGAAAGTGACAAAACCTATACCGTTAAAGAATGGGCTGAATTATGCGAAACACCAAAGTATGCTACCCCGCCTCCTAAGATGAAAAGCACTTCTTCCAAATCGTCTCAACGAAGGAATAACAATTACGGAAAGGTACCTACAAATCATTCGCCTAAGAAGCGTAGCACATCCGGTCAATCACCACCCGGAACCCCACCACGTGCGAAGAAACGTGCACCTGAAATTACTCAGACACCTCCCGAAACACCACCAAAAATTTGTACGTCGGGATCAAACAAGACAATTACCATGATCTCCGACTTGTCACTACCTGAGCAGGCTAGCATAACCGACTCGTTTGTAGATAATGATTTTTCATTACAAGACTACACTGATGGCAGTGAAGTTGAAGAAGAAGTTGTACTCACTTCCGGTCAAGTGACTACCGAATTCTTGCAGCAAATGCCTGAATTACAAGCTGCAATCACACATGTTCTAGGACCTTTATCTGAACCTTCCATGAAACTTATAAAAGAAGAAGAACCAGAACTGACTATGGATTTTGAAAAATTAGATTATCGTTCAGTTAACAGACGGCCGTATAATGATGATGAATATATTAAAGAACTCGCTGCTTATTATTGGAAGAATGTGACATATACCCCGCCCTATTATGGTGCGGATATGGCAGGTGATTATCAGACTTAATGATTGTCATTTATTGTATCACGTTTGCATTTTGTCAAATTCTTTCCTGTCAGGTACCCTATTTACTGATGCGACCAAGTCGTGGAATGTAAATTGTCTCGATAACTTGTTGAATACTATCGATCCAATTCCCGGTGTAAATAATGCGTACCTTTATTTTGGAATGTGGAAAGCGTGTTTCCCGTGGCATGTCGAGGTGTGCACTATATTTCTAACTGATAAAAAATAAACTAGGATAAAAATAACTTTTATCTCATTAACGTAGGATAAAGATTTATATTCTATTAATTATATCCACTTTGGCGCACCAAAACATTGGTATGCGATATCTCCGAAACGAGCTGACAAATTTGAACAGCATATGAGAGGTAATACTTGCATAAATTTCTCAACATAGTATGCAATGCTGCATGATAAATGCATTTAAAAATATTTAATCTGTAAAATTATGGGATGTCAACTTTATGAAAACTCCGAGTGGCGCAGTTTGTTATTAAAAGAATTGTAATATATTATGTATAAACGACTAACAAGCAATTCATTTCGATTAAATCTGCAAAATAAAAATAAAACCAGGTTGGTTTGGATATGCATCTAAGAATTGCTCTGAATTTCTGCGCCACAAAGAGTTTCTTGCTTCACCCTCTGCCCTCGACCGTGCACCAATTCTCTACAACCACGTTATTCAACGGGAGGGTGAATTTATCATAACCTTCCCTCGTGGATATCATTCAGGATTCAATTTAGGGTTTAATTGTGCTGAAAGTGTTAATTTTGCCTTTGAAGACTGGATTGAAATCGGAATTAGAGCAAAATCATGCGCATGCCGTCCAGATTCTGTCCGAATCGATGTCCGAGCTCTCTTTGGTCATTTGTTGGATCCAGATCTCACAAATGTGAGCTCGCAATCAATTATTCCATCATCATCACCATCGTCATCATCATCACCGTCATCATCACGAAAAATGGTTAAACAAACTGCATCACGGAAAATGGCTTCGATTGCCCCACATTCAAAAAAGACGAAGATTAAATTACCCTCTGATTCTATTGGTGCTACATCAACTAAAATTGTTCTTTCTCCGAAGAAGGGTAGGTTGAAATCCCATCAGAGTAAAGCAGGTAAATAAATAATTATGTGACATATGCAGCGTAAAAAAATACTTAGTAATATATTAAAATAATTATAAAAATATAAATTACTAAAGTTCACCTTCACCAGGTATGATGCAAACGTAAAAATTTTTTACAAATGTGTCTATAATTTGATCTAATATTAGCAATGTTTCTTGTTAGTGTTATTTATGTCCAAATAAATACAGTCATGACGAAGAAACATTGGAAGGAGGTGAATTTGAGCTTATAGCTAATGATGATGGCAGTCAATATGCTCATGGGTAACTAATTATTGATCGCATTGCTTTATTATTTCCGAGAAGTGTCACTGAATGAATTTTCAATATTAGTTTATGTGCAATGTTTGTTCCGGAAACATGGATCGCCAGCACAGATGGTTCGATGACTGGTTGTAAAATTATTGAAACAGAACCTATACCTTCATATAGGTTTGAAACGGTATGCTTGCGTGATTCCTATATGGTTACTAAAATACGTTGTTGATATGTAACTAACATAATGTTTAACAATTGATATTTATTCGTTCCTTAGGAATGTCAAGTTTGTCATACCAAGGAAGGTGCATGTGTCCAGTGTCAAGAAGCTGGCTGTGCAAAGGTATTTTGATATTATATATAGAGTTTTATTTATTCTTCAAGATTTAATTCGATTTGGCCTATTAATATTGTTTTAGAGCTTTCATGTATCATGTGGAGATAATGATGGAAATCAATTTAAAGGAATTGACTTAGAAGGTCAGATATATTATGTGATCTATTGTAAAACACATCAAAAGGTATGCAAGTAGCTTTAATGCCTCCGATTGAATGTTACAAAATATAACAAAATTCTTTTATTATAGGATCATGCTGCTATTATGGACATTTTAGGTATGGACGATGAAGAGGAAGTTTCAGATGCTGAAGAATTTAATACCATGGATCTGGACGTAACTTGGAGTGGATAACAGTAAAAATTTGTGTAATTCGCTTGGTCTTTGCTTTTCTAAATTATTGGTTACAATGTTGATTTCATTTTTGCGTGGAAACCACTCTTTGCATGAGTTGATAACTTTTTAGCAGAATTGGTCAGCAAATGCGTAAAAATGTAATGTAAATTTTGCTTATAATAGTAGCTTTTTCATTACTTGATAGTAATGATTTAAAGCAACAATTTGCTGTAATGCGTTGAAATTTGTAGTGAACGGCTAGGAATCGTATTAATACTTACACTTAGAATACGCAAGTGAAAATTGATGTTTAATACATTAATACTTCAGTGTAGGTACCAAAAATTAGATTAGGATAAAATTGGATTAGGATTATTAGGTTTTTTTTCTTTTCTATTTTTTTTCTTTTTTTTTACAAAAAAATGCATTAAAAACAATTAAATTATCAAATCTATAGGTATTAGTGGGTCAGGAAAATTTTTAATTTATTAACTAGTTAATTAATAATTTTGTTGAATTAATGACTATGTTAATAATTAAGTTATATAGAATTTTTTTATATACAGATATTTTGTTAACTATATATAAATATAGTAGACTAATAAATTTTAATACAGTTAATAGTAATGATGGTATATATATTAACTGAATTAAATTTATATTGTAACTATATTAATATATTAAAATTGGCTTATAGTACATTAAATAGATATTTATAAAAAGGTAATTACTATTTATATATTAGTATATTAAAAATAGAATACAATGTTAATTATTTTTATATATAATTAGTTGCAAATTTTTGCAAATTTTTTTGAAAAAAATATTAAGTAACCAATTTTTAATTTTTAAATAAAAGTTGTAGAATAGATTTTTTTAATTTTAATAATAATAAAATTATTAAAATTGGTTAAAACTTTATAAAGATATAAAATTTTTTTTTTTTTAACTTAAGCAGTCATGCTAGTACTTTATTAAGACTCTTGAAATTACATTTGCAATTACATAGAT